CAGCCCGCTGCTGCCTTCATCCCGCCGCTGGTGGCAGTTCCTCCGCCTGCTCATCACCGAGGGCGTCCCCCTGCCGCCGCTTCCGCTCCCGCTAGGCCTCCACAGCAGCCTCCACCAAGGCCTCAGTGTGGAGCCAGCCACAATCAGGCCGCCCACCCTGTCTTAGGCGCTGCCAAACCAGGTGGCAAGCGTAAGACTAAGCGTCCTTGAGACAGGCCACCAAGGGATGGGGGGACGAGCTCTTCAGATGGTTACTGTTCCACCGCTGGCTCCCCGGAGTCCAACGGTACCCGAATTGTCAAAAGAGCAAATTCATCTGTTCCTGGGTCCCAAGAGGGTCAGACTGGCAGTGTGCGACCCTGCAAAGACTTGCACCCCTCAGCCCCCTCTTGTGTCGCCAGCCGCCAGCCATGTGCGGTTCAAGGACCTGATTACGCCTTCTCCCGTACCCCTGCCGACCCGTGGAGACAGGTAAGTGTTGCACCGCACACTCAGACCTCGCTCCGGGACGCCCCCGGGCCTTCCGAGGCAGGTCTCTGTCCTCCACCTCGCTGCCCCACCCCGGGTACGTCTGTGGTGCCTCTGGTCCCCCTGGCCCAGTTTCTGGAAGCCTGGATAGTGCTTCCCAACCGGTCCAGCTGGCTCCTCCGTACCATCAGACTCGGCTACACGATTCAGTTCGCCCAGCGTCCGCCCAAGTTCAGCGGCGTGCGTTACACTTCAGTGTTGAGCGAACGTGCCCCTGTTAATGTGTGCACGGAGATCGCAGTCCTACTGGCGAAGGATGTGATAGAGCCGGTTCCTCTAGCTGATTTGAAGACCGGCTTCAGCAGCCCGTACTTCATTGTACCCAAGAAAGGGGGTGGGTTACGGCCATCTTGGACCTGTGTGTTTTGAATCGGGCCCTTCACAAGCTTCCGTTAAAAATGCTAACGCAGAGACACATTTTCGAATGCATCCGTCCCTGAGATTGTTTTGCAGCGATTGACCTGAAGGACGCGTACTTTCATGTTTCCATCCTGCTGCGATACAGGCGATACAGTTTGCGTTCGAGGGTCAAGCATATCAGTACAATGTCCTACCCTTCGGGCTGGCCCTGTTGCCACAGTTTACAAAGCTTGCGGAGGCAGCCATTGCTCCCATGAGAGAGCATGGTGTTCTTGTCCTCAACTATCTCGACGACTGGCTGATACTAGCTCACTCTCGAGAACAGTTGCGAACACAGGGATTTGTTGCTCCAACATATCAGCCAGTTGGGTCTTCGGGTGAACTGGGAAAAGCGCACACTCACCCCTGTGCAGAGGATGTCTTTTCTCGGTATGGAGCTGGACTCAGTCCAACCTCACAGAAGAACGTGTCCGGTCGGTGCTGAACTGCCTGAATACTGTCAAGAGCAGAACAGTGGTCCCACTGAAATTTTTCAGAGGCTCCTGGGGCATATGGCAGCCGCAGTAACGCCGCTTGGCTTGCTCCATATGAGACCACTTCAGCACTGGCTTCACGGCCGAGTCCCAAGGTGGGTGTGGCAGAGCAGCACGCTCTGTGTGACAATCACCCCAGCCTGCCGCCAAACCCTCAACCTGTGGTCAGACCCTTCGTTTCTCAGGGGCGGAGTGCCCCTAGAACAACTGTCCAGACATGCTGTGGTCTACACAGATGCCTCCAACACCAGCTAGGGGGCCACGTACAACGGGCATGCAGTAGTGGGGATCTGGATGGGCCCCCAACTGCATTGGCACATCAATTGCCTCGAGTTGTTTGCAGTACACCTTGCTTTGAGATGCCTCAAAACGCCGCTACTTGGCAAGCATTTACTGGTCCATACGGACAACACTGCGACCGGTGCGTACATCAACCATCAAGGTGGTCTACGCTCCCGTTGCATGTCGTAACTCCCCCGTCACCTCCTCCTATGGAGTCAGAAGCATCTGAGCTTCGCGCCAATTAAATTCCCGGCCGGCACCGACGAGCTCTTACGACAGCCTGTGGCCCAGGGAGAGTGGAGACTCCATCCCCAGGCGGTCCAGCTGATATGGGACCACTTCGGGGCCGCACAGATAGATCTGTTTGCCTCTCTGGACTTGTGCCATTGCCAGTTGTTTTACTCCCTGACCGAGGGGACCCTCGGCATGTATGCACTGGCACACAGCTGGCCCCGGGGCCTTCGCAAGTATGTGTTTCCCCCAGTGAGCCTTTTTGCACAGACACTTTGCAAAGTCAGGGAGAAAGAGGAGCTAGCTAGTTGCTGTTCCACCGCTGGTCTTGCTAGTTGCCCTTTATTGGCCCAACCGGACCTGGTTCCCCCAACTCTCAATAGCTCCCTGGCCCATTCCTCTGAGGGAGGACCTTCTCTCTCAGGGACGGGGCACCGTATGGCACCCGCATCCAGACCTCTGGAAACTCCATGTCTGGTCCCTGGACGGGACGCGGAGGTTCTAGGTGATCTACCACAATCAGTTGTAGACACCATCACTTCTGCGAGAGCACCCTCTACGAGACGTGCTTACATCCTGAAGTGGAACCTGTTTGTTCGGCTGTCTCCCTCCACCCTCAAAGTGTATGTTGCCTCTATTGCCGCACATCACGATGCAGTTGATGGGAGATCCGTGGGAAAGCACGACCTGATCGTCAGGTTCCTGAGGGAAGCGAGGAGACTATACCCTCTTGGGACCTATCTCTGGTGCTGACCGCACTGCAGAGACCTCCCTTTGAGCCACTGCAGGCAGCTGAGTTAAAAGTCCCGTCTTTAAAAACAGTTCTCCTGCTTGCTTTGGCCTCCATCAAGAGGGTAGGGGACCTGCACGCATTTTCGGTCGCCGAATCTTGCCTGGAATTCGGGCCGGCTAACTCTCACGTTATCCTGAGACCCCGGCCTGGATATGTGCCCAAGGTTCCTACCACTCACATACGTAACCAAGACGTTTTCTATCCTGTGCTGGTTTGTTTTGTTTCTCTATTCGTGCTTCTCATTGATGGTTGCTTCCCAAGTCTTGTCTTTGGAATCTTCTACCCATTTTTCCCTGTTGTGTTTTGTCATTTTTAGTTTTTTTGGGTTTGCGTTTACATTTTTGTAAAAAAAAAAAAAAAAAAAGGAGCTTCCCTGGCTGTTCTGCGTTTGGGTTCTGACTACAAAAACCTGACAGAATGTTTAGTACATCTCTCAACAATCATTGTATTGCATTGCATTACATGTTTTGCCCCCCACAATAGAAAATTTTATATTTTTGCTCAGTTCGGGCCTCTTAATAAATAAGAGGTGTTTTTTTCCCTCCTCAAATATGAGCTCCATATTCTCCTATATCATACTGTATGAGTCATAAAAGCCTATCAAATATATGATATGCAACAAAAACACAAATGCAAACTTTTCTTATTTTAAACATTTTGTCTAAAGGTTAAATAAAATAAAAAATATTTTTTGACTATTATTTTATGTCAGGCTTTACCAAGTTAAGAATCTCCAGTGGTTAAATATATATTGCATAAATATTTATTGTGATGTTTTTCTCTGAGGCACAAGCGAATGTATTCAAGGATTATTTACATTTTTGTACCTCCTTGATAGATGAAAAAAACACATACCAACAAGTATTTTTATTCAACAATATTTATTTCTTGTGGTTTTGTATATACAAGCTCTGCACTTTTATATTTTTGATATTTATTTAATGCACAATTGCTCTGTTTCTATCAAATTAGATGTTTAGTAGGGGTGGACTGCGGTTTTAATGTCATACACAGATTTTCAGTTAGACTGACTTTAAATGTTGATTTCAAATCAAATTCACAATGTTTATAGCGATTGGAACTGAATGGTTGGGTGAAGTAGCTCTCTTTGGAGTGACTGCTCAGAGACCCCAGTGCAAGACTTAAACTGAATGTTCATGTTCCGCCAGGTTATGTTGACATTTCATCAGCTCCTTTGGGCAGTGTGTGACAAACTCATCTCCAGTAATTAATGTAAACACGGTGCTTGCAGAGCTAGCTCCCTTAAGCTCTCACTGAAGGTCAAGGCTGTTTATTAAACCTAATGAATATGACTGGGATTAGCACATTCTCAGGGGGAAACATTCAAGTTCATCTGATTAAAGATGGCTCAAAAAATCCCCAAGCAACAATGCTTCACTATAAACATAGATGTACTGTGACAAGACAAGGTTTTTACAATATATTCCTCTTGTTTTTTTTGTTGTTTTTTTTTTGTTTGTTTTTTAAGAAATCCGCTATTATTTATTTATCATGGATTTTATTGTTATTAGATAAATGACAATGGCAGTGATGCAAGCTTTGATCAGGTTGTACAGTGTGTATAAACTGTTGTGGATCCAGATGTTCTGTAAAGAGCTTCTCAAGGTCTTCATAACATTCTAAAATGAATTGAACTTCTAGATGTTTAACTTTCCTCAGTTTTCACACATTTATATTTTTTTGGTCATCCTCATTAACTTTTCAAATGGTGATCTCAATGCTATTAACTTTAAGGCATACTTCTTGTTCCACTGCCAGAAATTGTGACATATAATTACAAAGCAAAGACCCAAAGTTTCCCAACGAACACTATTAGTTGTTCCATGCATTTACTAAAAGATACACACTGTTAACTATCAAATATATATTAAAATAATGATAAAAAAATCATATGTCTCTGTAGCCAAGTACACTGACTTGCAACTAACCAGCTAACAAAAAAATATGTTCTAAGAACATTTTGCTAACGCTGCCATTAAGTTATGAAAACGTTTTCTATTAAAGTTCTCTAAACGTTCAGTTTTTTGGGGTTATCCGAACGGTAAGGGAACAATCCATTTTTATCATTTTACAATACATAAAGGTTTTGTACTAACATCTTGATAACATCATTAAACAGATAACTGAACAAATGTTATATTAACACTATTATAAGAATGTTTGCTCATAACTTTGAGAGAACCTTGCCAGAACGTTAGCTAAGGTTCTCAGAATGTTTACTGTTAGCTGGGTAATCATTACATTTTACTGCATGCCCATCAAACCTACATTTAACATTCCTGTCCTGATTCAGAAGTAAAATGGATGCAAATAGAAATCCACATTATAAAGGCTTGTTCATGCCTAAATAAATCAAATGGTTTCATAATGTTATAATCGTTATCCTAACTTGTTCTGTTGATATTGGTAGGCTGATTTCTTTATTAAAATGCCCCAAAATCACAAGACTATCAAATAGATCATACAAATGATAACAAAACTCTTATTTGCAAGATGTTGTCTATGGTCATATGAGAATAGGTTACTGTGGATGGCTTGTTGCCAGGCCTACAGGTCGATGTTGGTTGCCAGACGCAGACAGAGTACAGCTTCAGTGGGTATGTCTTGGGCTCTGATTGCATTGGCCTCCAGGCGCAGTACACGCAGATTAGAGTAATTGTTTGTGTCCACAACTCTGCAAAAACTGCTCACTGAAAATTCTGAGAAATGTAGGGAAAGCAGTAAGTTATTGTCTTATCCAAGCACAAACAAAGCCTAAATAGGGACATGAATGATTTGCATTATAATTATCATATGTACAAATGTCTACAAATCCCTGAAAGTAAACTGATGCTGTTTTATTTAGGGCATACTCCAATCGCTCGTGCTACTTCAAACACGAAGAACAAATGGAGTTGCAATGGTCGCTTTGTCACATCCGGTGTAGACACGGTGTGTCACTGTCTACTACATGTGTCGTTATTTCCTGAAGGAACTGTGTTATGTTTTTATCTATTGTCATGTGATGTGCTAGAAAGATTACAATGAAGTTGGCTTCGACTTTGATATCACAAGAGACAATTGATATACATTTTCACACTATAAATACTGAAATGGTTTGTTTATTTGACTTTTTTTAAAGTAGTTTAAGTTTTACTTGATATCCATATTTTATTTAAAATTTTATTTCACTTTATTGCTGAAGTGAAAGCACGTATAAGAGTAAACAAAGTTATAGAAGTTTAAAATGACTGTAAAGCAAATTAATTGTACTAAAAAAAAAATATTTTATACAAAATATATATTTTACTAAATAATTTTTAATCTAAAAATGCCATAAAATCAAAGTCATGTCTAACTAAGTTGTGTTCCAAATGTGAATTTGATATCACAAAAAATTGTATGAAGTTTGTTTAGGCACGTGAGTCTCATTGGAAAGGTCTGAGACTCAAGGTTCTATATTTGATGATTGTTTTTTTACTGATATGTTTTGTCAAGATTAGAAAAGGTTTTGCTTATAAAATAGTTCTGTAAATTTTGTAATATGAAAGATGATGCCACCCACTAGGGGGAAGAGCCCACTAAAAGGAATTTAAGTACTGTTTCCATGGCGATGAAATGTCTGATTTCAAAATGTTTTTCACGGATAAGTACTGAGGGTGTAAGCTTTCGAATGATACCTAATATATGATGACTAATATATGATAGTAAAAAAGGGCAATAAATACAGATCGCCAAGCGTCCAGCTAGCGGGATGGTGAATTGAAATTCTGGATTCTAGGAATTTAATTGCACCATTTCTCTTTTTTTTTGTATATGGAAGCACATAAGCAATATACATTTCTAATAAATGGCTGTTTTGAAGCATGGCATTAGGGCAAGCTCATACTTTCTGGAGTAGATATGGAAATATGCCTCTGACATGCCTGGTCTTATGTGTAACATTTTCAGGTGTTTGTTCTGTACCTTTGATCTTGTTGGCCTGGAGATACAGATTCTCCAGACTGGTGCTGATAGTGGGAATCCTCTCCAGCTTGTTGAAGGACAGATCGAGTTCCACAAGTGTGCTGACATTGAAAGCGTTGGGTGGAATTCCACCATTGGTGAGCTGGTTGTGGGACAGCCTTACGAAGCGCAGCTCAGGCCGTTGGGTCAGGAAGTCAGCAGGAATGCTGGATATATGGTTGTACTCAAGGTAGAGTTGGCTCAGCTTTGGCGGCAGACTTTCTGGAATCTTCCTCAGTTGGTTCCCTCTTAAGTCCAACAGGGTCAAGGACAGCAGACCCTCAAGTGCGTTACCGAGGTCTTCAATGGCATTCATTTGAAGATGCAGGGCCGTCAGGTTGCTCATTCCACGGAAAGAGTCGACCGGGACTACCGAAATATTGTTGTGGTTCAAGTGTAGATCTCGTAGGGAACGTGGTAAACCCTGTGGAACACGGCTCAGGTTGTTGTTGTGTAAAAAGAGGCGCTCAAGGTTTGGTAGTTTAGCGAAGACTTTGTCGGCAATCTTGTCAGAGCTCAGTTTATTTGTCTGCATGCAGATCCAAGCTAAATTTGGAGCATTATCAAAGATGCCATTTGTGATTCCTGTGATCAGGTTATTTTGCAAGTATACATACTTAATATGAGATGGTACGAACGGCACGTGCTGTAGTCTGCGGGTGTTGCAGTACATTGCTTTGGGGTAGGTAGAAGGACAGTCGCACTCCAAAGGGCAGTCCAGCACAGAAGGCTCATCCTCTGTACTTAGAGAGGCGAGATTGTTATTGTGGCTACGGCCATAACCATGACTGTAGGCTCGGTTGCGCAGATAACTTAGCCAGGTCAAAGAGTTGGTCTGTTGTGTCATGGAAAAATCGACAAGACTTGCCAGCAAAAGCAGAAAAATCCAACCTCTCATTGTCCCTACGAGTTGCCTGTCAAGACACAAATACCAACCTGATCTCATGAAATGTGTCTTTATAGCACGCATTGTATTTATCGTGCAATTTATATGCAAAAATGAGTTTTTACATGCATATGATATGCAGTTTTCACGTGCATATCATACACACTTTATGTGTAATACAGACATACCCCGCACCACTAATCCTACCCAAGGGGTTTACAATGCGTATCATATGCACGCAAAGACTCATTTTCGCGTTTAAATTGCACGATAAATACAATGCGTGCTATAGAGATGCATTTCATGAGATTGGGTTGCAAATACATATGTAAATACTTTATCTTTTCTGAGACCACTAGTGAAAAACACTTCTGTTTTACAAATTGTTTTTATAATTAAATTAGCTATTTGTCATTAGAAATTATTCATAATCAATTCATGTTTTTTCCCATACAAATTATTAATTATTATTGATGATGATGATGTCATGATGATGATCTTGTTAAAGGAGAACTCCGGCGCAAAATGAACCTTTGGTCTAATTACACATTGTTACCTAGTCAACCGTTATCTGAGATTTGTTTTCATGATTATCGAATGTAAATAGTTTTATCTCTAAAAACAGTTTAGCCTATAAAGCTAGTATAACGCTAGTATATTGGGCATAGTGTAATGACAAATAAAAATCGCTTGTTAATACCACTAACAAGGCTGAAAATAGACCCACACTAACACGGTAGCATAATGAGGGTCCCTACCTTCAAACCGAAGCATTGAGAACTTTGTAAGTGTACAGACAGTTTAATAAGAAGATATTTTAAACATACAGTCAACTTCGCTTATACAGGCAGGAGCCATCTTTGAAATACAGCCTTTACCAGTCGATCTACGAACGCCGATCCAAACCTGCTGTTCGCGCTCACCTTATCACAACTTATAGCTCGTTCACATCTCACCAGCGCACTTGGTTCGGCGTTCGTAGATCGACTGGTAAAGGCTGTATTTCAAAGATGGCTTCTGCCTGTATACACGAAGTAGACTGTATGTTTAAAATATCTTCTTATTAAACTGTCTGTACACTTACAAAGTTCTCAATGCTTCGGTTTGAAGGTAGGGACCCTCATTATGCTACCGTGTTAGTGTGGGTCTATTTTCAGCCTTGTTAGTGGTATTAACAAGCGATTTCTATTTGTCATTACACTATGCCCAATATACTAGCGTTATACTAGCTTTATAGGCTAAACTGTTTTTAGAGATAAAACTATTTACATTCGATAATCATGAAAACAAATCTCAGATAACGGTTGACTAGGTAACAATGTGTAATTAGACCAAAGGTTCATTTTGCGCCGGAGTTCTCCTTTAAAGAGCATATTGTGCATCAATGAAGAAAGAACATTTGACTGTCTGTAAAAACTATCACATGATCAATGTCACACATTTGATTTACTTATTTGATTAGTGACCCTGAAATTTCTTTTTCATTTCATGTCATAATATTTATTTATTCTACAAATGCTCAGAATTATAAAATCCCATATCCCATAAAAGACTTTGGGACCCAACTGTATACAGTCAGTATAGGCACATGACATTTCCTTGTGCTTCAATAAGAGCAGTTTCAAAGAACATTATTACTGCTCACAAGCCTCAAGGAGCAGACATGCATCTTAAATCTTCCTGACAATAAACTATCATTACAAGAAATCATCATTATTTGCATGTGGTATGTTTAACAGTACATCTCTCAGAGCAGAGTTCTGGTTAAAACAGACATCATGAAAATTCTCTCAGGTCTGGGCAAGTATGCCACAAGTGATCTCATTTTTTGCTTTTTAAGAAAGCACAATGTTTTGGAGTTTTGCCTAAGGGAAGCTTCGGTACTGTTTACAGACATGATGATGGATAAATCCAGCTTTTTGGTACTGCATGGTGACAGCTTCACCTCTTGGGGCGATATTAAAAACACTACACTTATGTACAGTAATACATCTACTTAAATGCTTGTTTAAACATGTATTGTGTTATTAATTTGGTTCAATGAGGGGGTGTTGTGTAACATGTTTATGGATTAAGCATAAGTTTATGGATGTGTCTAATTGACTTATTAATGAACACTTTATATTAGGTGTCTTTAACTATTACGGATACATCAACAAAATGATTAGGTACAATGTACTTATTGTGTTCATGTTGTATTGCAAAACACTTGCTGTTACGGGTAGGGGTGAGGTTAGGAACAGGTAAGGATAGGGTCAACAGTGTTATTATTGATGCAATTACAGAAATTAATTACAGATATTTTTAAGTATAAGTGCATTTTATCAAATGATTCATTTTAATTTTAGTACATAGTAGTGTAAAGAGACACTTAAGATAGAGTGGGACTGGATTCATGTCATGGATTCATGACTGGATTCACTTCAAAACCCATGAATAATATCAAAATCATAAAGACATTTGTTTATGTTGATGAGAAAGAACAATACTTTCTCTTCCATCATATTTGTGTGTGTTTTTTTTTTCTTTCTTTTTTTTAAACTACGGTTCAGGTTTTTGGTTTAAGAAGTAAACTTCCATGAAGAAAATGGCAATAATCATGTAACATTATTACCCTCTAAGTTTAATAGAGCAGACTAAATGTCCTTAATTAAAATGAGAGAAAGTTCTGAGAGGAAAAATAATAAAATCCCATTAAAGTCAAGTTATATGTAAACTGCATGGACAAACAAAAAACAATTCTCTTCTTCAGTAAAAAAATGTTTTTATCATAATGCAGGGCAGGCTTTTATCCAACATATCTGCTAAAATAAAGATTAAACACATACCTATGTTTGTAGACTTTGTGGTTTTTGGTCTTTTGTGTGTGCTTCAGTCGCTTTGGAATGAGAAAATTGTAGAAAAGAGGTGGAGAGAGGGTAAATTAAAAAAATCATGCTCCATGCAAATGTTAAATAATTAAACTGTTGTTCCAGCACATGATTAATGTTTGTATTACACATCCACTCTAATTGTGAAATACATTTCTAGACATGCAGAAGAAAAAGCATGAACTGTACCTTGTTTTATGTACCTCGCTTTATACAGTAGACCACATTCCAATAAACGGATAGAGTTGTACAGCCCAGAGCCTTCAGTGCAAAGCCTTTACAGTGAACATTTGTCTAATGCCTTACTAACATGTTACGCTGTGTTTTGTGCCTGAGGCTTTGTGAATATGAGTGCCAAGTGTGAGAAGGCAAAACATCTGCTTTTTAACAGCCTGGTTTCATAGATTCTGTAAGGACGGGACCCCTGCCTTATCATTATCCCTACAGAATGAGCCTTTGTGTGCGTGCATTTCTGGGGTATTTGACTTAGTATGATCAGGCATGCTTTATCTTTGGTTTAAATTACAGTGGTTTTAAAGGGTTACTTAACATTAAACTATACTGTGAACTCTATTCAAATACCTTGAGTAGTTAAAACGACAGATTTGAGTGAAACCAATAAAACTGGATATGTCAACGTAGCCCAACCGGATCTCTAACAACTGGCTAGCAATACTAAAAGCTAAAACATTGTTATATAAATTACAATAACAAAACAGGCAACCATAAATATCAAAAGGTTCAAAATTAAGAACCCATTATGGATCATTGCAAGCGTTTTAAATGGTCTTAATGAATAGAAGGTGTTGTTTTATGTGCAAACTATTTCCATCAAATTAAGAAATGTCCAGAATACTTAGAAATATTTAACCATATTTATGTGTTTGTTAGTTTTTTCTATGTTTATAAAACGCCATGGTGCATTTTATTATATCATGATGGCTGAACAAACATAATGGGGGAAGTACTCATATGGAGACAATTAGTCATTCATCCATTTGTCACAAGGGAATGTTTAACCAGCAGTCATTTCTTAGGCGTAATGCAGATTGTTTTATACTTGATTTAAATAATGCGCACAAATGTGTATTATATAACATTGTGATGTAATGGTTTAGGCTGTTGTTTATTAGTTAGCAGTATACATAACACACTCCCCAGCGTATCAAACACAGCAAGCATTACAGAACAAACATTAATGCTTGGTTAAAAAAAAGTGAATGATAAACTGGATACTATTTTCAAACAACATTCAACCAAAAAAAAAAAAAAAACCTTAATTGACTTGCTACAGCTACAGTGTAAAAGGAAATGCTCACTTACTGCAAAAATGAAATAAACCAATACAGTGATTGTACAGTACACTTCAAAAGTTAGTCAGTAAGAGTCCTTAAGAAAAATTACTTTTTTCAGCAACATTAATTTGATCAAATGTGACAGTAAAGGCTTTTATATTGATACAACATATTTCTTTTTCAAATAAATGCTGTTCTTTGGAAATTTCGGGAACACTTTATTTTGCAGTGTCCTTGTTAATTGTTTTACATGTAGTTACTATAATAACTATAAATTATGCATAACTACATGCAGTTAATCCTAAACCCAACCAAATCCGAATCCTAACCCTATACATGTAGTTAATTACTAAGTACTTAAATGTATAATTTCACTGTAACACGTACACCTTAAAATAAAGTGTAACCCAAATTTCTATTATATTATATATTTGTGTCACAGTTTTTCAACTTTTTTCAACCTTAAAAAATATAATAATAATAAATGTTTCTTGAGCACCAAATCAGCATTTCTAAATGATCATGTGAAAGAAGACTGTGTTTTTGCCATCATAGGAACAAATTAAATTTTAGAATAAATTAAAATAGAAAACAACTATTTTAAATTAATGATATTTCACACTATTACGTATTTTATTTTGCCTTGGTGAGCATAAACTTAAATCTTACCGATCCCAAACTCGTGTGTGCACAAAAGGCATCAAAAGGGTTCCAAGAACCAAAACTTAGAGAGAATCTGACTGAAAACACATATAATACACATACAATATACATAAAATAATCATCAGAACTACTGCAACACCTCAAACATCCTTCCAGACATTAACACAGATATTATTCAGGCTATAACTGCAGGCTATAACATTGAATGATAAATGGAGAATAAATTAAAGGGTCAATTTTTTCCCCTCATTGTTATAAAGTGACTTTCAGATTGTAACTGTTCAAGACCTACGCATGTGTCCACTTGTGTATTTGTTTGTCACAGTCCTGCTTCGTTCATTGTAGCTGCCATTTTCTTTCTTCTCTTCAGAAGAAGAGGATTGGACGAGTCCTCGATCGCTTTGATCTTTATTTGTTCGTAGTCCACTCTTATTGTTGCTAAGGCGTTAGTCATCTCTTCCTGTGCATTTACACAACACAATAGTTACTAAAATTACTTACAGAAAAGTATGATCATTGATTCTGATGCTCTTTAGAGTTCAATAGTTTGGGGTTGGTAAGATTGTGTAATGATTTAAGAGATGTTAAGAATTCTCTTATGATCAGTATTTACAGTATTTAATATAGAATACAGTAAAAACAGTAATATTGTGAAACATTATAATTTAAATTATATATATTTTTCAGGACTCAAAGGAACAGCATTTATTTAAAAAAAATCTTTTGCAAAATTATAAATTTCTTTACTGTCAATTTCAACCAATTTAAAGCATCCTTGCTGATGCTCTACTAATCCCAAACTTTTGAACTTTTTTCATATTTGAATACAGAAAACAGACCTTGACTTTATCCCAGACATCACTCTCTTCCATAAGAACCCGACTCGTGTGCAGATGTGTCGGAGGAACCTTCATTGACTTCTGCATAGATCCCGAGAGAGAGAGAAAGAGAGAGACGCACAAATTAAATATTCTTACTAAACTTTAAATGTAGAAATAACTATATAAGAGCATAATTTATCATTTATCAATCAGCATGCAAAAAAAACCTGATCTGCAAGATCTTTGCAGATTAAAAATCAAATGCTAATGCTCACATTGATCCAAGAATGGTTCATGAATTCTGTGATGGTCATTCTCTCTGTAGGATCTGTTTTCAGCAGTTGGCAAATTAGCTGCTTTGCTACAGAATGAAGGAAAATGTCTTATCGCATAATGTAGTGTATGTTTGTGATGTTGAACAAAATGCAGCATAATACGTATTATAAAATTACCTTCCTCTGACACCTGTGACCATTCATTGTTTGGAAATTCATACTGGCCATTCCGTATCCGTTTTCTCATTCCCGGTGAGAGTTTTAAGCCATGGTTTGAGTAGAATGGTGGATATCCACACAACCTAAGAGCGTACGTAATGGTTGTGGATTAAAGAGCAGTAACTAAGAAATAAAGGTCCCCAAATGTTGGTTTTCGCAGCAATGCCAAATAAAAGAACCATGTTCTGTCATGACAGCTCGCAGAGTGTTTGGCATGGTAATGGATATGACCATGTTAAAATGTTGGGTCTAGATCTGCTACGCTGCTACTGTTATTGCTGCTCCTGCAGAGATATTACAGGACTTGCTACTGCCAATACATCCACATACACGCTTCTGTGAGAATGTTAAACATGCTGCTGTGTACATGAATTACCCATAGCTGATCTACACAGGTGGAGCTGTAAGTGCACTGCAACTCATTGGCTGCTAATGCAACAGGAACCAATCAGTTGTGCCTTGTAGAAAATGATGTGATTCCTAGCAAATTGAGTTAAGGACCTCTCAGCCTGCACCATGTTTCATGAAGCAATGACTTCTGTCCTGAAAATCTAGATGATGAAGGCTGATGGGTTCTTAATGCAAACTGATGAGGTTCACAGCATTACCTACTTGCCACAAGCTATGGTTTATGTTGTATTTGCAGCCAATGAGCTTGCTGCTTACAACATTTAAATGGCTGGTTAGCATTCACTAAAGCAGTTTGCTGCCGAAACCCTCCACCTTCCCCAGCTCCACCTGTTTAGATAGATCTGCTGTGGGTAATTTATGTATATGCTATTTGTGCAGCAGAAGTATGTATTACATACTCACAGCAGCGTATCAGCATATGTATTGGCATTAATAGCAACTTGCCGTACTTGCTCTACAACAACAGCAATAATCAACATCGGCAGCGTAGCTGGGGTGCGTTTCCCGTACAACGACATAACTCGCTGCTTAACTACCATAGTACGATGCATTGTTGAAGAAATCAACTAGCTAGTCACAACTGTTTCCCGAAAACCATATGTCGCGAAGTGGTGTTCAATGTCGCAAGGTTTATGATGTCACGCACGTGGTGGAGTAATAACTTATTTTAATTAAACTGTTTGAGATCGAATTAATGAAACGATGGTTTCAGGAAACACCGACTGGTTGAACTATGCTGATAACGACGGAACTTGCGACCATAGTTGGCTAACGATGCTTTCGGGAAACGCACCCCAGATCTATTCAACCAAGACCAAATACATTAACATTGTCAAATCCATTACCATGGTAAAAATCTTCAGATGGTTGTAATAATAGAACCGATGTGATATTTTATAGCCATCGGAATGTTACCACTCACAGGATGTACATGATGACTCCTAATGACCACATGTCACATGACTTATCATATTTCTCTGGACCAAGCACCTCTGGGGCTGAAAGAGAAGGATTCACTTTAATTTCATTGTATAATGATACCAAATGAAACTCAAAACGGACTTGTCTGCTTACCCACATAATAAGGTGTATAGCACGGGGTGGTCAAGCAGTTGTTGGACGTGGTCTCTTTGGCGAATCCGAAGTCTGTAAGCTTGAGCTGGGCATCCGGCCGTTTTGATGTGTATAGTAAATTCTCTGGCTGCCAATTAGGAGATGATTGAAAATTAAATATAAAAATATATTTGTTTATATGTGTTGAAATTTAGCTTTATGATGTGTGTTGTAACTGTAAGCCCTACATCGTTAACTTTTAATATACGTAGCCTATATTAGGTTCTAAAACCAAGAAACTAATTTCTCACACAATTTCTAATTTCTTCTTTGATAATTTAACACTATAGAACTCAACAAGTAATAAATGGGGAAATCTTCAGGAGGGTTTTTAAATGGTCTCAAATACTGTTCCACTTTTATATGATCATGTTGAGTTTCCTCTTGGCTTACAGCAGTGAGCAAGTATAAGATTGCAGAATGACTGTTCTTCCATAAATCGGTTGTAAAATTGTATCTTTAGTTACATTATTTGCAAGGTTTATTGCAGTGATTAAATTGCCATGTCCAATTAACGACAAAGAAATCTAACTGATTACATTTTCAATTTGAATCCACTGCAGGATCCAACAATTACTGTACATAACATCCTATGTGTTAGGGCCAAATGTCCACAGGAATACAAGCAATTTTACAAAGTGGGTATAATAAAGTTATACCTTAATATGTTATACTTCAACATGGTGAACCTCAGCCAGAGTTTAAACACTAGCCATTCAGCAATGTTTATGTGTCGTCTTTCTGTCATTTATCAAAAAGGTTTAGTTTTAAATTCAAAGAATAACTTTGGTAAACCAGATATAAAAACTGTCTTGATCAAACGACCTAAAACACAGCAAAAACTGTAATAACTTTTGAACAGTAATGTACACTCACCTAAAGGATTATTAGGAACAACATACTAATACTGTGTTTGAACCCCCTTTCGCCTTCAGAACTGCCTTAATTCTACGTGTTCAAGAAACCAATTTGAAATGATTCGAGCTTTGTGACATGGTGCATTATCCTGCTGGAAGTAGCCATCAGAGGATGGGTACATGGTGGCCATAAAGGGATGGATATGGTCAGAAACAATGCTCAGGTAGGCCTTGGCATTTAAACGATGCCCAATTGGCACTAAGGGGCCTAAAGTGTGCCAAGAAAACATCCCCCACACCATTACACCACCACCAGCAGCCTGCACAGTGGTAACAAGGCATGATGGATCCATGTTCTCATTCTGTTTACGCCAAATTCTGACTCTACCATCTGAATGTCTCAACAGAAATCGAGACTCATCAGACCAGGCAACATTTTTCCAGTCTTCAACTGTCCAATTTTGGTGAGCTCTTGCAAATTGTAGCCTCTTTTTCCTATCTGTAGTGGAGATGAGTGGTACCCGGTGGGGTCTTCTGCTGTTGTAGCCCATCCGCCTCAAGGTTGTGCGTGTTGTGGCTTCACAAATGCTTTGCTGCATACCTCGGTTGTAACAAGTGGTTATTTCAGTCAAAGTTGCTCTTCTATCAGCTTGAATCAGTCGGCCCATTCTCCTCTGACTCCTCTCCTCTGGCATTTTCGCCCACAGGACTGCCGCATACTGGATGTTTTTCTCTTTTCACACCATTCTTTGTAAACCCTAGAAATGGTTGTGTATGTGAAAATCCCAGTAACTGAGCAGATTGTGAAATATCAGACCGGCCCGTCTGGCACCAACAACCATGCCACGCTCAAATTTGCTTAAATCACCTTTCTTTCGCATTCTGACATTCAGTTTGGAGTTCAGGAGATTGTCTTGACCAGGACCACACCCCTAAATGCATTGAAGCAACTGCCATGTGATTGGTTGATTAGATAATTGTATTAATGAGAAATTGAACAGGACGTTCCTAATAATCCTTTAGGTGAGTGTATAATATAATATAATATAATATAATGCAGTGTACTGGTGCATAATAATGGCTAATAGCTCACCTTGAGGTCTCTGTGAGCAATGTTAATACCATGCAGAAACTCGACAGCTTCCCCTATGCTTCTCATTATTTCTGAGGCTTCTACTCATTGTGTGGAGTGAAAGGGGGAAAAAGAAAAAGAAAATTAATAACTGGGATGTGTTTAGTTGAATGTGCATATGTGTTTGATCTGTACCTCTTTCAGTGAAAGCTTGATCACCACGTTCCTGAATGTGGCGAAAGAGTTCTCCCCCCTCCATACTGTTTAAGGAACACATAGTGGGAATGCAGTATCATGATTCATTAATCTCACTTTTTTTGTTATAGACCTAAAATATTATATACGTCAGGCTAAAAAATGAAATACAATATCTCATAGTGACAATAATAATTAATGTCTAATTATATATTTTCAGTATTTTTCTTGCAAATTGTTTGCAAAAAAAAAATATAAGGCTCTTTGAAAGAAAATACTTTCTTATAATACTTTAACCTGGTTTATTATAAATAGTATATTGGTATTACAACAATTTGAGATAACTGTTAATTATGACTCCTTCATCTTTATGTTATAGACTTGCATTAAAATTGGACAAATAAAATTAAAATTAAAAACAATATTACAGTCACACTAATAACAATTAGTGTCCAATTCTTAAAAAAAAATTTGTTGAGAAAAAAGAAGAAAAACAAAAGAAATCTTAAAATCTCTTCGAAAAAAATACTTTCTGAAGGCAATTTCATCTGGCCTGTTAGAATACCAATATACTATTTATAACAATTTGATTTAAGTGTGTTAAAGCCCTACCACTCCATGACGAGAAGCAAACACTTTTTGCCTTGGTAGTAATTCTCAAAGACATCTTCAGTTCCAACGATATGAGGGCAGCTTGATGCCCTGCAGTGAAGCTCCACTTCCTGTCGAGCCTTAGGGGTGTCCCGCAATATCTGAAAGTGAGCGAAGAGCATCAAGAACAGCCGTCTTCACAGTCTAAATTACTTATGGAATTGTTTTTGCTCATTTGCCTCCAATGATTTTATTGGAGCATCCTTGACCCACTATTACTGTAGGTAAATTGGAGGGCCTGCAGTTTGTCCTGATATCTCAACCTCAGAGAGTCAGTAGAATTCTGTCTGTAGATAAACTTATACTTTCAGCAATGAATGTTACTCAGCCCAAATGATTCTTTATTCTCTCAATATGTACCCTCTGTATTTACTGCCCTGTATAAATGCCCTGTTTACTCCTGGTATTAAGATGTGTTTTGGTCGATCGGATGACAAGTAGACGAGGTATTTTACTCCTGGTATTTTAATCCTTCTCTTTTGTCCACTTTCAACCGCTTCTGTCCTGATGTTTTCGAGGGGAGGGTCTATGGGTGTGTAAATTTATGGGTATTGTTTTTTCAGATCTTTCCATCTAATGGACAAAATCAGCGGAAAAACATACGGAGAGCAGCAGCTTTCGCTTGGTACGATTTTTGTCTTCAAACCAAACTTGGGTCTTCAGGCGACAAAGTTTCAAACCCGTCTGGCTAGCATGCTTCTCAAAACGGATTAGACAAGTAGGCGGAGAGTCTTGTGACTGTTTGTACACATTCGACCACAGGAGCATTTACACCATACAGTATTCACAATGCATATTCCACTATCTCTGGAGATGGTCGAAAATTGACATGCTCAAAATCTTTTAGACCCTGTTTACACCAGTATTTAGCGTTATGATCCGATCAACCAAAACACCTTAATACCAGGTATAAACACACTCTTAAAACTAAAGGTTCTCTAGTGGCATCATGGTTCCATGAAGAACCTAAATGGAAGCTTTCCATTGCGCAATAGGTTCTTTATAGTATAAAAAGGTTCTATAGATTATTAAAAATGTTCTGTACACAAAGAAAATGATGGTTCTTTTAAGAAAGTTTTTTTTTTTTGAGGATGCCAAAATGGTTCTTCTATGGCATTGTTGTGGAAAAAAATGCCTTTATTTTTAAGAGTGTAAGATTTCATCTGGGTAAAAAATAAAAAGATAATATATGGGGTTCCTCAAATTACCACACTGGCAGAGCCGCTGGAGAATGTCTTGGCATTTTTCTGAGGCACTTACAAAGTCGAGCTTAATGGATCCCATGCGTTTGGGAGAACTGGAAAGACTGTTAATAGCTCCTCCAGTAACTAATGGAAAATGTTTTGAGGCACCTGAAATATTCAAAGTTCCTTGAGTACACAATAAGATATCTGAGGTACCTTTAGTTTTTATAGTGTGGAAATGTTTTTTTTTTTTTTTTTAGGAATACCAAGTCCCCTTTACCAAAAGCCTTGTAGAAACATAGCCGTTAAACACTTCAATATTTAGGCTGACTTGGACTCAATAGGACCATGTACAGTACGAGATAACAGGAGAGAAATTAATTTAATGAACTGTGAATAAGGTCTTATCAATCATAATACAGTAGGCTAACAACCAAGACTTTAACAAACATTATTGACACTGAAGAATATTCACCCTTTTCACATCATTTGCTTTATGTATTAGTTTAGGTATGAAGCTGTCAATATATACAGTATATATAGGCTATATATGTACATGAACAAAATAGATAGCTACCTTTAAGGCATAGTGTTTGCCGTTTTTCTTCTGGAAAATTTCCCAGACCTTGCCATTGATGCCTATCCCGAGCACTTGTCCTGCAAGCTTATACTCCTCAGTTATTACTTTCTTCTTTATCTTCAGTGTGGATTTCAGTGCAGGCACAGTGTCAATCTGATGCTGACCCTCTTGCAGCTCACTGGAAAGCACATTTTTATTTTCTGTATTATACATAGTGGTAGAGTAGACTGTGTTCCGTCTGTGCAGCAGTGAAGACTTTAGCAGCTTAAAGGATTTTAAAAGGATCCAATTAACAGTGCTGGTTTGAATATCTTTAACTGAATGGAAGGAGTTAACGCAGACACAGACATCTCTAAATCAACAACAAACAAACAATAAATAAATTAATTAAATTTTTATCTCACAGTTATGACTTTTTTTCTCTAATATGCGGGTTTATTTCCCGCGATTCTGACTTTTCCCCTCAGAATTAAATATTAGAAAAGTTAAAAAGTCCGAATTGAGAGATAACTCGCAATTTACGGATCGAGGTTTGGAAAAAAGTTATGGTGATTATTATTTTTATTTATTTATTTTACAAAAAAAAAACATAATCAAAATATACAAATCACATTGCGTTTGTATTTTCTTTCAAAAATATACCAACAATCAGTTAAAAGCTTGAATGATATTACTTTCAGAAGTCACTGGTCTGGAGGCCACTTTAACATACACCGATAATTTCCAGTCGGACATGTTTCAGCGCTGCACGCGCATGCTGCTCAGTGCTCACTGTGCTCCTAGCACAGGAGATGATTAGTCGAATAATAAAAAAGCTTTTATAATATGTGGAAATAGAGAAGTGTTGATCGTTAGGTGATTTTAAGGGGCTTCTTGCAAATACTTCTTTAGAATACCGAGATGTTTGCAAAAGCGTTTCGTGTGAAATCAAACACCGTTATCAAGGGATCTGACAGGTATTCAAACAGTTAACGTTACATTTTTAAAGATAAGTTGAAAGAAATACTCTTGCTTAGTAAATCTGTCATCAACTGTGTAGACAAATTCAGTTTCATTGAACTCTTTTATTGCTTTTTAGGAATCAATGTCAGATTTAATATTGAACAATGTGTGGCTTATGTGGCATGGTTGTAAAAAACTGTATATTTAGTATATATATATATTATTTTATTTTGTTACTTATTCATGATCATCTACTGTATCTTTACATTAAGTGCCTTACTGAGATATTATGTTTCTGAGTTATTTCATACCCTATTATAATTGTTGTCACTCTTGATACTGCATTGTTTACTTTCATAATATAATATAATATCATCATAATATTTTGGTAAAACCCTGTGATTGTTTTCCCTTTTGAAATATCTGTTAATACATAGGAATATTGAAAGTTTTTATACTCAAGATAAATTTGTGTTGTTAGTTGTTAAAAAGAGTCAACTTAAGAAAAGGTCAATAACAATTATAAGCAGTATTTCTCACATGATTTTTAGATAATTATGTAAATTTCAAGATGTTAAATGCACTTCCCTCTGATTATTCAGAATCTTAGAATCTTTTTTCCTTACTGCATTTTTTTATTTTTGTATGCCTTATCATTGTGGTCCTTTCTGCCCATACAGGAGGAAGCTGAGAGCAGATATTGCTGCTGCTTTCCCTTCTCTGTCAGTGGAGGAACTAAATGAGCTCATCCCAAATAAAGAAGAGCTGAATATTGTGAAGATTTACGCACATAAAGGAGATGCAGTCACTTTGTACGTCCTCCATAAAAATCCCATATTCTTTCAGCTGGAGAAACAGGTGTTCCCAACAGGTGAGTCTGCAGGTCACCATCAGTCTTTGTTGAGAATGCTGATGAAGTGTCTGCTCATTTTAGCCTGTTGTTCTCAGTGTACACACTGTGGAGATGCCCCACCATGGTACCAGCATTCGCCACGTGGCCGCCAGTTCTGCAGAAGTTATCTGGTGGAGCAGGTCAGCACCTGTTTGCTAGTTTGCATCTGTGTATCCCAGAGAACACATGTGACTGATTTCTCTCCTGCAGATCTCATGTTGCCTGGTGTAGTGGTATCCGCTAGTGGCCTTCCTGAGGTAGATCAAGGCGATTGCTGTGCGGTCACTCTAGTGATGAACAGGTAACGGTGCCCGTGCCCACCACATTTCACTCTTAAAGGGATACTCTACTGGTTTTTCATATTAAACTATGTTATTCCCTTAACTAAGACGAGTTGATACATACCTCTCTCGTCTCAGTGCGTGCACTAAATCGCTGTCTTGCAGCAAAACTTTGTTAGATCTTATCTCAGCCCTGTTCATTCAATACGTGCCCAGAAGAGAAGCGACCAAACACCTCCACGTTTTCCCTATTTAAATACAGTTACACGAGTAGTGTAACTCGACCTAGGACGGTGACACAAAATAAAACGTTGCGCTTTTCTAAGCGTGTAAAATGGATAACTATATTGTATGGCAGAATACCATAGCAAGTGCTTGGGAGCACTTCGACTCGGCGCAGTAATATCATCTCTCGTGAAAAGTCCGCTGCCGTTGAAATGAGAGGGAGGAGGAGAGGGAGCGGACTTTTCACGAGAGATGATATTACTGCGCCGAGTCGAAGTTTTTTCTCAGATCTTTCAATCTAATGGTCAAAATAAGTTCTCTTAATTTACATATGAACGCGCCCAGAGACTTGCATACCAAAAACATACAGAGAGCTTCAGCTTTTGTTACTGCTCTAATAGCTGTAAGACCACGCTGAACGCTGAGTTCAAAGTTTAAATCCCGTCTGGCTTCCCATGCTGTTTACGCGTTGTATGGGATGAATATGGCTCAGGAAGGAAAATGCCATTAACGTGAAACCTTGCGCGTCACGTTATATAGTCTCTTGTCTGTAGGCTATATATTTTTCCTCCCATAGAGCCTATTATTATAAAGCAAAAGCTTAACGTCAATGCAGTAAGACGATGATATTAAAACTCAGTAGCCTAGCTACACCTTAATGAACATGCAACTCACTATATTGCACGTTAAGCATTTTATATTGGTTTTCTATGGGTGTTGTTCATAATCTGATTTAATCTGTTTGCCTATACAAAGTATACTTTATTAATAAGGTAGGCCTACATTGTGTACTAAATTTGGTGCTTCAATATCACTCACATTGGGTCTCATTCATGAAACATTCGTAAATATACGAGTAAATATGCGAGTGATTTGCGCGTAAAGAGACCTTCCCGACAACTCTTCTCCTGATTCACAAATACTTCGTAAACGTCAGATGTGATAGTGAAATGTGTGTGTGTGTTAATGAATTCCAATCAGTCGTAAATGGGATGCGCGTGCACGTTCATTCTCAATTACCATAAATCCCGCCCATTAAATCCGACTGACAACTATACAGGTCCTTCTCAAAAAATTAGCATATTGTGATAAAGTTCATTATTTTCCATAATGTAATGATAAAAATTAAACTTTCATATATTTTAGATTCATTGCACACCAACTGAAATATTTCAGGTCTTTTATTGTTTTAATACTGATGATTTTGGCATACAGCTCATGAAAACCCAAAATTCCTGTCTCAAAAAATTACCATATTTCATCCGACCACTAAAAGTGTTTTTAATACAAAAAAAAAAAGTCAACCTTCAAATAATTATGTTCAGTTTATGCACTTAATAGTCAATACTTGGTCGGGAATCCTTTTGCAGAAATGACTGCTTCAATGCGGCGTGGCATGGAGGCAATCAGCCTGTGGCACTGCTGAGGTGTTATGGAGGCCCAGGATGCTTCGATAGCGGCCTTAAGCTCATCCAGAGTGTTGGGTCTTGCGTCTCTCAACTTTCTCTTCACAATATCCCACAGATTCTCTATGGGGTTCAGGTCAGGAGAGCTGGCAGGCCAATTGAGCACAGTAATACCATGGTCAGTAAACCATTTACCAGTGGCTTTGGCACTGTGAGCAGGTGCCAGGTCGTGCTGAAAAATGAAATCTTCATCTCCATAAAGCTTTTCAGCAGATGGAAGCATGAAGTGCTCCAAAATCTCCTGATAGCTAGCTGCATTGACCCTGCCCTTGATAAAACACAGTGGACCAACACCAGCAGCTGACATGGCACCGCAGACCATCACTGACTGTGGGTACTTGACACTGGACTTCAGGCATTTTGGCATTTCCTTCTCCCCAGTCTTCCTCCAGACTCTGGCACCTTGATTTCCGAATGACATGCAAAACTGAGCAACAGTCCAGTGCTGCTTCTCTGTAGCCCAGGTCAGGCGCTTCTGCCGCTGTTTCTGGTTCAAAAGTGGCTTGACCTGAGGAATGCGGCACCTGTAGCCCATTTCCTGCACACGCCTGTGCACGGTGGCTCTGGATGTTTCTACTCCAGACTCAGTCCACTGCTTCCGCAGGTCCCCCAAGGTCTGGAATCCTTCTCCTGGTCCTTCTCCACAATCTTCCTCAGGGTCCGGTCACCTCTTCTCGTTGTGCAGCGTTTTTTGCCACACTTTTTCCTTCCCACAGACTTCCCACTGAGGTGCCTTGATACAGCACTCTGGGAACAGCCTATTTGTTCAGAAATTTCTTTCTGTGTCTTACCCTCTTGCTAGAGGGTGTCAATGATGGCCTTCTGGACAGCAGTCAGGTCGGCAGTCTTACCCATGATTACGGTTTTGAGACAGACTGGGAGTAATGAAACAGGCTGGGAGTTTTTAAAAGCCTCAGGAATTTTTTGCAGTTGTTTAGAGTTAATTAGTTGATTCAGATGATTAGGTTAATAGCTTGTTTAGAGACCCTTTTCATGATATGCTAATTTTTTGAGATAGGAATTTTGGGTTTTCATGAGCTGTATGCCAAAATCATCAGTATTAAAACAATAAAAGACCTGAAATATTTCAGTTGGTGTGCAATGAATCTAAAATATATGAAAGTTAAATTTTTATCATTACATTATGGAAAATAATTAACTTTATCACAATATGCTAATTTTTTTAGAAGGACCTGTATATGGGCATCATATTATGACATGAATGCGAATGAAAAAAAAAAATTCTCAGATGCAGAAATTGAAGTTGTATTATCAGTAGTTCATTCAAAACGCCACATTTTATTTTCAAGCGTACATAGTGGCGTATCGGGTCCTAAAAAAAAGGAAGCTTGGCAGCATATTACAGATGCAGTTAATGGAGTTTCATTCTGTTAATCGAACATTCCCAGAAGTGAGAAGAAAATGGTTCGACATTAAGCTTGAGAGCAAAAAACGAATTAGTTCACTTCGGAAAAATATATTCAAACTGGAGAAGGACCACCATCGCAGATGCTATTACTGGCTCTCATAATAAGAAAAACCGTATGTAATTACTATATATAATATTTTTTCAAAATGCTGTGCAAATATGTACCCGATTAAGGTGAATTAAAATGCAGCCTTTTTAATGAGAAAAACGTTCGGGTGTTAAGCGCACTATTTACGCGTGGCTGGGAGCAGGTGTAGATTTCTTGTGTGCCAACTAACATTTGGAAAATACGAACATTTTAATGAATCCGAAAATTTACGCCAGAACCACTTTACACACGATTTACACACAAATTCGTTCTGCTCGTGTTTCATGAATGAGACCCAATAAGCGTAAATGGGGAAGTTCGCTCGATTACGCTGCCGTTGTCTGTTTTAGCAGAATACTGCCATCTAGTGGTAGCAGGTTTTCTCAGACAGTGTGTGTGGATCGTGCAAGGCTAAACCGGCGAAATGAGTCTCAAAATCCAAATGAATCAAATAGGATCGACACAGAAACGAGTCAATGAATGCACGCGTGTCACCTCATCCACAATTGCACATCTTACTTGTTTGTTACTATGTGTCTATTTGTACAAAATGCTGCACATTCATGTGATTCTGGATTTTGCACACACAAGTTGTATTGTATTAGTCTAAATGTAGTGACGCACATTTGTGAATTTGTCAAATAGATGGGTAGTTGTGCACACATTAATAACTAGCACCAGGCCTATTCATTTGTAGTTGTTTGTGTGTGGGTTGTGAAATGCTTAAAAACCGCAAAAAGAAAGTCTCAAAATCCAAATGAATAAAATGAGATTGACTCAGAAAAGATGTCAATGAATGCACGCGCGTCACCTGATCCACACATGCACATCCTCTTTGTTGCATGCGCAAATTATGATACACTAATACAAAAGAAAACATTTGTATTCACAAAAATGTGTGTATTTGTACAAATTGCAACATTCATTCAATTTTGAATTTTGCACATGCAAGTTGAAAGGCATTTGGTTGTGGATAGTAAAACATGTCTGCAACATTAATCAAGTTCATTGATATTTGTGCTTGCACGTGCTAATCATTTTGATACTATATTCATCCCATACAATACCAGGTGTAAACAGGGCCTAACAGATGATTCATATTGGACTTAAAATTTTGAATCATGTGGAAGATACCACAACTGGATAAAGATTTGCAACTTTGTGATATAGCGATTATAAATTGGATTTGGCAAAACTCATCAGCATCAGCAGCGTCTGTAGCAATTTGAATGATGTTGAGATGTGGAGCCTTCATTATTAAAAATGCTTGTAAATAATGTTCACTTACCGGTAACATGCATGAAAACATGGTTATTTTGTGGCTTTTTGGTGTTAAAGGTCACCAGTGGCTATTGGGACAGCAGCTGTATCGAGTGCTAAGATGAGGAGCAGTGGAATGAAGGGGAAAGGAGTGAATATTTTACACGCATACTTGGACCAGCTGTGGTGAGCTTTGCATTACAGCATTATTTTGTCTTTACGGTCATTTAGACTTCCATTTCCGACCACTTTGTCAAGTCAAATTTATTTGTATAGCACTGTTCACAGTACACATCGTCTCAAAACAGCTTTACAGAAAATCATGACATTTAATGTTTTACCTTAATATATTCATGCCTAGTAGTCACATATAGCAACATAGTTGGCGTTTTGCGACAATACAAACAATCAAGCATTAGAGATCTGCTAAGCATTATATATCGCCTATTCGCCTTGTGTGAATATACTGTATGTTTGCGGATAAAGTTGGACATACTTATTTATCCAACTTAATGCAAAGAGATGCATGATAATATATAGGGATGGGGCCGATCCGATCCAGTATCGGTATCGGGACCGATACCAGCGTAATTCACGTATCGGATTTTCCCGATCCAACCTGCGGAGATATCCGATATCCATGAGCCATGTCTGCGCTTTAACGTAGTCTGCTGAAACAACTCCAAAAGTGATTCCCGCGGCCCGCCGGCTAGTCTGCTAGCTGGCTGCAAACTGTGGAATGGATATCCTGAACGGAGGTGCGGCTCAATGAGACACAGAGACCCCCCCTCAGGAAATCCATTCCGCAGTTTGCAGCCAGCTAGCAGGATAGCATTGAGCTGCCAACATGTTCGCTGTGTGGAACTCCTATGGTGGAAATACTTCACACTGGAAACACCACAGCAGAGCAAGACAGCAAAATGCAATGTTTGCAAAGCCGTATTAATTAAACCATTTGTCTGTGATGCATGTTTGCTATTCGCAGTCCAGAAGAGAAAGAGAGAGATCTCTCACGCGGTGCCTCAGCGCGCACAACACGACAGCCCATCAGCATGATCGGTGATTGTTGTAAAATGCAGTCTCTACTGTTGCTAAATTGCGGGACGCTTTTAATAATAAAAAAAGCTATTAAAAGCACAAAAATCTGCGCAAGAGAAGCTGTTCCCGCGTCGCGCGCTCCGAAACAGACCGCAACGAGACAAGCACATTATACTTTGGGCTTCATATGCACGTCTAAACGATCAAATGTAGCCTACACAAAAATGTCAAAATGACCGGCTTGGAGATTCACTTAAACAGTTTGTCTAAAATGGACGTAGTTATGGAAATAGTTGGGAGAAAATATGGTGCACTCGTTCTTAAAGGGGAAGCAGTCTAATAAACATGCTGACGATTGCTCCATTACTGAGAATCAAACAACAAAAGGCAAAGAGAAAATCACTCACAGCTCTTGAATGAATAACTTTAGCTTTAATAGGCATAAATCTATCTATGATAAACTTTGCAGTGCTATTTTACTTTTGATTACTTTATTATAATTATTTTTAGACCATACCTAAATAATGTTAGTAGACCTTCCTGAAATTAAAGCACTGTGTAGGCCTGTATAATGTGTATCTTTGTTTAATTTTCTATCTTTTGTTTATCTATTGTTTAATATATATATATATATATATATATATATATATTGACATACATGCATACATACGTACATATCATACTTGCCTGTAGAGAGGAGTTTATTTCAGCATCATATAAAATCAACAATAATGATAATAATAATATTAAAGCAAACACAGCTCTGGTATCGGAAAAGTATCGGTATCGGCCGATATCCAAATTCAGGTATCGGGATCGGATCGGAAGTGAAAAAATGTGGATCGGTGCATCCCTAATAATATATAAAGATGCACCGAAATTATCGGCCGAAAATGGCATTTTTGGTTTTTAGAAATGTGAAAATATATATGCCGCTCCTCCCCACCACTCAGATTTCACTCTCGCTGTTATCACTGCGTGGTGTGACGCTCAGCTCAATATTTCGCTCTATGCTAGGGGTTAAACGGATCGTAGTTGAGCCTTGATCCGTACGGACCAGGCCCCACGGTTCGTCACGCATGTGTTTTGCGGATTAATTGCTAAGTTTCACCATCAGTTCGTTATTCGTGCACTGTTATCAGTGCGCACAGAGAGACGCATTTCAGATAGCGCGCAAACAGCGAGTTGATTCCTCTTTTGCATCTCCATACACTGGAATGGACACATAGGCACAAAATGATGTCAAAATACCAGTCTCGGCAAGTATTCTCGTCGGTTATGTCTTAAGTGAACGTTGAGAAAGAAATGTGATTTATATCATATTGGATCCGTGCATTTGGTCTTAAAGTGAAAGCAGCATATAAATACTTGTTGCTAAGTCATTAATGTTAAACAAAAAACAAAACACAGCTTTAACAAAGATTGATCTATATTTAATTTATACAGTGTACACTAGTGTCATTTTACATTTAGGCCTAATAATTGCATGTCTGTACCTACAGTTACTCTACAGTTAGACCTTACTTTATTTGAAACTTTGTTATACTGTATTTATCTATGCTTGTAATTAGTGTATTTGATCGATTGTTAGTGCAGCGTGAGCCGTTCTTGATCAAGTGACACTGTTACTACACAGCGCTAAGAGATCCAGTAAAGAAAGCATTTGAGCATTTGAATTCGCCACTGAAGTAATAACATCGCTGCGAGATCTAGTGAGAAGCATTCAAATTTCGCCATTATTAATCGTAGATCTCTATTAGATCGAACAGCGCTGACGTGGAAACCAGGAGAAACATTGTGCTATGAATGGACTAACGTTAGTTTTAGAAATGATCCCTGCAGCATTTAGTGGACACTCTCATCTTTCTGAGAAAAAGAAAAACTTAAACATTGACTAAAAGCACACTGAGTTCCATATAAAAACAAAATTGTTCTTTTCTTTGTATTTGTTTATAACTACTACAATATTACATTTCTTTTTAAAAAAAAATTTATAAGGAGCTTTTTTTGTTTTATATGCTGCTAAGAAGACACCCCAGAAGATGGGTCAAGTATAGCTCCATCATTGTTCAAAGTAAAAAAATATCATACTTTATGATGTTAGTTTTAATAAATATATATATATTTTTAAAACAAGTAAAATTCTCTGGCATTTCTTTCTTTTTGCTGTATCGAAAACGTATCCGAACCGTGACACCACTGTATCGTATCGAACCAAACCGTGAATTTTGTGAACCGTTACACCCCTATATATATATATATAAAATTTGTCTTGTATTTTTTTAATTCAGCATCATTAAAATGATTGAATTTCATTAAAAAAATCTGATAATAATGCAATTATACAAAAATAAGCTAATTTGAAGTAAGAAATAAATTCTTTTTAAAAAGCATTTTGGTTTTTCGGTTTAGGTTTTCGGCCAAGAGCATCCAGAAGTTTCGGTTCCAGCCCAGAATTTTCATTTCAGTGTTTTCCTAATAATATATTTTACATTTTTCAATAAAATAAAAAGGCAGGCAGCTGAGATTTGCTATATAGTGTATATCGTTTTATGTAAGTATACGTTCTGTATGTATGTATGTGGATACAACTGTGATAATATAGTTTATATTTTGCAATGATATAAACAATCACGCAGACGATATTTGCTTTATATTGCTTTATGTGAGTATACTGTATGTATGTGTGTAAAGTAGGATGTACTACATCCAAATTTTAATATTTGTTTTATGTATCCATGTTTTACAATTTGATTTTGATTTACAAGCTTTCGTTGTAATTCCGTTCTCGATTTCATTTTAATTCCGTTCTCGATTCCGTTCTCGATTTTAATTCCGTTCTCTGATATATTCATTTGGCTATATATCAGTTACATTACATGATACATTTCGGTAAGTTGTACTTTATCTTTCAACATACCTTCTGATGCTCATTCATGTTTATTTGGTGCTGTAACTAGTAGTAAAGAGGAAGAGTTGATCAGTTCACATGCACTCCATGAGGCGCCACAGCGATCTGTCACTCCACATTAAAGACTGCCAAAACTGTATTTATTGTTTGAATTTTGTTATTAAATTGACAAAAAATGAAGGCTGATGAGAAGAATTTGTTTCGGTAACACTTTGTGATGCTCCCAAACAGACATTCTACTGACTATAAGTAACTTTAAGTACATGTCAACTTATTCTATTAACCCAAACCCTAACACCTAACCCTAATCTATTAGTGCACCACAATCTACGGTAACGCTTTATTTTAAGGGGGTGTAGTTACACTTTACTACTTGCACTTACTATAGTAACAACAGTAAAGTATGCATAATTACAAGTAACAAACCCTAACCGTAACTCTATAGTAAGTACATGTAGTTAATTAATATTACTCAGTACTTATTTGAGCAAGTAACCCAGTCTACTAATACTCTAATCACAATTAGTTGACATGTAGTTGCAAAGGTGCTTATAGTTAGTAGTCTAAAGTGGACCATCGGAAAAAAAAAAGTTTAACCTTTGTTTTATATCAAAAGTAACAAAGCACAAAACATTATTTGTTGAATAGGAGGTTACAAATAATGTTTGGTGAAGTTTTGTTCATGCATCAACTGAAAATAGCATAGACCAAAAAAAATTCAGTTCATCAAAAGGAGTATCAATCAAAATTGAAAAAAAACCCGATATTTTCAACCCAGCCCTAATCACTGAGCGATAATATAGTTTACATTTTTAGTTGATATAACATCAATTATGCATCAGATCAACTTTCTACAGACTTCTTCCTCAAATTCTCTGCAGGGCGTTTGGTGATAAGACGCATCCTCCGGTTATACCGGTCACAAACTGTCCAGCACCGGAGGAGGGAGAAACAGATGGAGAGGAATGCGAGGAGAAAGAGGAGAGGGACAGCTCTAAACCAGCTGCAGTGGAAACATCCTGTCGGAGCATGCAGGAGCTGAGGCTGGATGAGCACGAGGTGTTGAAGGATGAACAACTGGATGAGGATAAAGAGGGAGAAGACACTGATGGAGAAGAGGATTCTAGATCTCCACAGGGTGAAATGTCTTTGACTTCTTGTCATGTATCCATTTTGTATGTGTTTATTGTATCTTGACGTTCATGTCCATTTTATTACAGAGCAGATGGATGAGTTATTGCTGCAATGTTTTCTCCATGCACTCAAGACTAAAGTCAAAAAGTCTGACCTCCCATTACTGACCAGCACCTTCCTGAGCAAGCACATGGTGTCCTGCTGGTAATTTATCCTCTGTTGTTAATCTTCTGATGTATTTACCTTTATTTCCTAAGCTCAACCTTTTACTTTATGGCAAATCCTGGTCTATTATCATTTTTTTAATTTGTAACTCATTCAAACACTGTGAGACATCAGAGATGTTCATCATTTTTCATCAATCATTTTTTAACAATTACTTGAAACATTTATATTTGTATAACTTATTTTTATATTTAATTTTTGTTATTTATATTTTATTTTAAGGCTGATTTGCACTAAAAAAAGCTACATTTCTGATTTAATTTGGTCAAATTGTTTGGGGTGTTTCTGACACATTAAAAATGATCCTGGATACATTGTGTTATTGTAGCTTGGTCAAGTTTGAAATGTGATATTTTTTTTTTTTTTTGTCCCCATAGTCCTAGAGGAAAGCAACTAGATATCAGGAAATCAAGTTACAAAAAGGTACACCATTCACAGATTGGGAGGTTTTAGTAGATTCAGTGTAGCCATATCTTTGCTTTAGTAGATCACAACTTTTCTCTCTTCTTTTCCAGCTGTCTAAGTTTCTATTGTGCATGCAGAGAGATCACAGTCTGGTTCAGGTGAAGGAGCTGAGTAAAGGTGTGGAGAGCATTGTGGAAGTTGACTGGAGGAACCCTGAGTATGCAGTCAAACCATTTACTATTAATATCTTGTTCATAAACGTAAAAATTATTTTAAGTCAAAACGCATTATCTAAAAAAATATAAAATATTTGTTGATGTTTTGTTTGTTGATGTCCAGCAAGTGTTCTTGGTTTTGAGGGAAGTGGTTGTTCTCTTGAACAACTTGCTCTACTTTTTTCAGGGTGTGTTCTTTCAGGACACCAAAGGACTGTGGGCCGGAGAAAGAGTCTGTGGAGGGGGGCGGGGCTTGTGAGGTCCCATACCAGACCCCTGAAATCACACAACTATATGGGGTCACTGCGCGCCTGGAGCCTCTTTTTCAGGACGCCAGGAAAAGGTTAACAAGTTTTTTTTTAAGTTTGTTAGTGGTAGTGCTGAGGTTTTGAGCATGTGACTTTGTGTTTCAGAAAGGGGACGCCTCTAAAGGCTAGTGAAGTAAGAAATGTCATCACGGATTATGTAAAGAAAAATGAACTCATCCATGAAACCAACAAAAAGTGAGCTTATGTACTTTTTCTTCTAAGTCAAATGTACACTATTGTTCATAAGTTCCTGTTAGTTTTTTTTTTTTGACCGGAGATTACTGTGCGTTCACACCGCCGCCGGCGAGAGCGTCAAAATTTGCTCTCGCCGCCCTGCCAACAACGCTGTAGAAAGATTTGTGGACGCTATGACGTAGATCGAATGCTTGGTCTTTTTTTAAACTTTATTTAAAGGGGCCACAAAGTGAACAAGCATGTTGATCGTTATTTGTGCTGACTGACCACAAGTAGGGTATAAGTTAACCTCATGAAATCTTTTGAATGTGAAAATAAGAAATTGATCGATGGAAAGAACTTAACAATTATAGTGACATGTTTGCTAACGAAATTAACCAATTAAAAGCCATTTGTGTGGTGTGGCTTTTGTGTTCATGGTTAAGTGCTAGTCTAATTTGCATTCCCGCTGAAAAACAAGCATTCTAACACGAAAATGTTGCCTATAAATAGTGTTGCTCGCCTTCTTATCAAATTCACAGGATCAACATCTCCTCCATTTTGCATGGGAACTAATGTGGTCGGAACCAAAGTTTACAGGACTGCGTTCTCTGCAATCCTCTCAAGCGGAGGAATACATTCCAATTGGTTGCCGCCCAACCGCGTCATAGCTAATTACCATAAAGTTGGCCTGACTTCAACTCTCCTCGACACCCACATCGTCCAAGACACGCAGCCCTCGCCGGAGCTCGACATTGAAAATGAATGACTGACTTTGATGCTCTCGGCGGCGACGGTGTGAACGCACAGTTATGCTCACCAAGGCTGCATTTATTTGTTCAAAAATACTGTGTAACGGTAATCTTACTCACCCCAAACCTTTGAACAGTAGTCTTTATGGATCTATGCAAACTACTGCATGGTTCAAGTACTGTACTAGTGCAGATTTCACAAGGTTTGGATTAAAGTGACTTCCTCTCTTCTCTTGTTCATCAGTTATGTTAACATTAACCCAACACTTTGTGACTGTTTGCTGGAGAAGTCTGAGTACCATGAAGTGGAGACGCTGAAATGGGATGACCTCTTTAGCAGGTAAAAAAGCATAACATATATCAAATTGTTTTTTTACTTCTTCTTTTTTTCTCAAGAAGCACATCATTTTCTACGGAAGCCTTGAACCGCAACGTAAAAAAAAAAAAATCTAGCATTTCGAGATTAAAGTCGAAACGTTTCGAGATTAAAGTCGAAACGTTTCGAGATTAAAGTCGAAACGTTTCGAGATTAAAGTCGAAACGTTTCGAGATTAAAGTCGAAACGTTTCGAGATTAAAGTCGAAACGTTTCGAGATTAAAGTCGAAACGTTTCGAGATTAAAGTCGAAACGTTTCGAGATTAAAGTCGAAACGTTTCGAGATTAAAGTCGAAACGTTTCGAGATTAAAGTCGAAACGTTTCGAGATTAAAGTCGAAACGTTTCGAGATTAAAGTCGAAACGTTTCGAGATTAAAGTCGAAACGTTTCGAGATTAAAGTCGAAACGTTTCGAGATTAAAGTCGAAACGTTTCGAGATTAAAGTCGAAACGTTTCGAGATTAAAGTCGAAACGTTTCGAGATTAAAGTCGAAACGTTTCGAGATTAAAGTCGAAACGTTTCGAGATTAAAGTCGAAACGTTTCGAGATTAAAGTCGAAACGTTTCGAGATTAAAGTCGAAACGTTTCGAGATTAAAGTCGAAACGTTTCGAGATTAAAGTCGAAACGTTTCGAGATTAAAGTCGAAACGTTTCGAGATTAAAGTCGAAACGTTTCGAGATTAAAGTCGAAACGTTTCGAGATTAAAGTCGAAACGTTTCGAGATTAAAGTCGAAACATTTGAACACAGGCATCTTGTGTGTGTTCTGGAAGTTCCAGTGATGGAAACAGTGACAATATATGTTTGAAGGGAGTAAAGCCTGTTTAGTCTATTTGGGAAATGCACAGGCTTTTCAGAATCATCAGAATCATTATCGCGTTTCGATGCTTCCCCAAGTTATTTTTTGTCACTAAAGTTTTAATAAGGCTATAATCTGGTCGGGTAAGTAAAATTATCTTTCACTTGCCCCTTCATAAAATACACTTGTCCCGGAAAAGCGTTAATGTTGAGCCCTGTAGTTCCTTCCTTTCTAAACCATATGTTAATGATAGTTGGGAGGGTTTCTAACCCGAAAATGCTCACCATCTGTATAATTCATAAACACAACTTTTTACTTAAAAATAAAACTAATGTCATAGCTCTGGTTTCTGTGAATACAGTCAGAGACAATGGTAACATTAGCCACATTAGCTGTACAGCCTGCTAATAAGCGCATTCAGAAAGGCGATTTGCAAACAACATTCCTGTCAAAGGCTGCTGAAAACGTTTTGTAATGCAATATGTGAATTGCCGAATTTCGCTGAATGACCATATGAATCCTGCAGGACTCTCATCAGAATGCAGGCGTGCCATGAGGTGCTGTTTCCAGGTCAGCCTCCTGTGGTTAAGAAAGGACAGATGGAGTCCATAGACATTACTGTAGCCTCCAGGGGTTCCAACAAGAAGGTATGAAGCCATTATAAGAACTTGGCTATAAATAGTTGCCCCAAAAAGTATTTGGATGCTTAAGCCACATATCTATGGTTATGATTTATTACACAACATAATATTGTATCTCAAATGATCTTCAAGCAAATTCTGGGCAAGTTTTTCTCAGAACTAACTTTTCTCAGCCAGTTCAACCAACTGGTGTCAAGGTGTTTTGCAATCAGATCATTTCAGGCTGCTAAACTCTGGGAAAGTTTCAGACCAATGATCCAATAAGCTAATTTATTCAAACAATCAGTCCGGCAACTAATGTACTAATGTAAAGAAAACCAGGCTGGTTACATCAGAGATGACAGAGAGAATAGAGACTCGCGTTTTCAGTGAACTATTCATTCCAGTGTGTTTTGCTTTAAAACACAAGCTCTGTCATATTCTGTCATTGTTTCTGGAGTGCACAAGCCTCACACATCGCGCTGTGTGAAATACAGACTGAACAGAAGGTCAAAACATTCCACCGCTGTATGACCTGATGATGCGCAAACTACGTTTCTCAGCTGGATAAAGTGTGTTATATTGATGCGAAAAAAGTGGTCCTGTTCAGTATAGCAACTTGACTTGTCTAAAATGTAAATAAGCTCTTTGCTGTTGCACTGTACACATACTATACACTATGAATTCTGAAAAGTTTTTTTCTGTAATGTTTTTATTTTTTCATGTGCTTGGTGTGCATAACTTTATGAATTATATGGACTCCTTATATCATTTGGTGTCTCCAAGTGTTCTTTTTTGGAATGACCTTTAAAAAAGCTACAGAAAATATTTTTTTGTTAGAATCACACTTCAATCTGAAGGTTTACAAAATGAACGTATTAAACAAGATAAATGGTGTATGCTTCATGTCATAAGTGTGCAATTAATCTCGCAAAAGGGTGCTATTAATCGCAATTTTAAAAATGTAATCTATTGACAGTCCTACTTTTTGTCCTTAAGAGAAATGTAATGACTGTCACACTTTTTTAAATGTGAAAATACATCTTGTGGCTACTGGAAACAGCCCTTTTTATTTTCAATATTATTAGAAACAGACTAGAGTTGTCAAAAAGTACCGAATTCGGTACCAAGTCGATACTAAAATTTTAAAAATGTGACACTGAGCGCTATTGGGCGGAATCGTAAAACACCTCTGATTGCCCATTGTACTCATCGGATATGTCTGTGATTGTCTACAATGATCAGCGCTTCAAAAACATGTTGTAAATATACATCAATGATGCTCTTCACCGAGCGCTTGCACAGATACAGACGGGAGCGTTTGAAAGCAGGTGTCTATCGGACCTTTCAAACACTTCCGTGTGCTCTAAAACGCCCCCGTGTGTTGATCATTGTAGCCAATCACAGACATATCCGATGAGTGCATGAACACAATGGTCAATCAGAGGTGTTTACTTTTGCGCTCAACAGCGCTGAGTACTGACAATTTCAGTACCGAGGTCCGTACTTTTGGACAACTCTAAAACAGACAGTATTTTGTGTCTAATGTAAAATACAGTTGTGTCACTCATTCTCCCATTTATTAAGGTTACAGTAATTAAGAATCTGGAGGCGTTTGGTTTAGACCCAGCTGTGGTAGCAGACTCTCTGCAACATCAGGTTCAGGCCAGCTGTGTCCTCCTGGATTCCCCTGGGGCCAAAAACAAAGTCCTGGTGCAGATCCAGGGAAACCAGGTCCAACATGTTGGCAAACTGCTGCTAGGTACAGTATAGTACAGTGTAATATAACAGCTTATATCTGTACTTGCAATCTTTTGCTTATGTGTGAGTGCAATTTTTCCCTTTTATTACAGATCGTTATCAGATCCCACGGAAATATGTACAAGGTCTTGATAAAGCTCCCAAACCAGGCAAGAAGAAATAACAGATGACAGATCTCCTCAGAAGAGCCACATGTTGCTGTGACATTTTAAATAACTAGTCAACATAACATCATCTCTGAAATAAAACACATCTGATTTCATTCTGAATGATCTCTTAAATTAATCATTATCTCATACTCTGCATAATGTTGCCTCAAAGCCCAGTTCAATAACAGCTGTAATGCACAGGTTCATTCAGAGCTTGACAGTTCCTGAAGCACTAGTTTGCCAAACTGATATGCATGGCACAGATGGAAGTAACCACACCTCCCTCTCTTGATTGTCATCTTTATAATGGTCTATTGCCAAAGAAAATTATACACCGTCTCAGGCAGTGAGTTGTAGCTGAACTTTAAGGAATGATGACCAGAAGTCAACTTGTTGACTTAAATTTTTAAAGCACACAATGGTTTAAAAAAAATTGAGGTAGGAGTGTTATTTATTAATTCTAATAAAACCCATTGGAAATTAGAGCCCACTCTATGTGCCACCTTCAGAAACATGAGATACGAACACTCTGGACATTATCAAGTAAAAATTATCGCCAAAAGAGTGACCATATACAAGAGATTCAGCGTTTACTGTCTGTGAGTAATTTAAAGTAATTGAGTATTCATTTAAAAACATGGTAAACATACAGTACTGCTTATAATCTCGATTTAAAATCTGAAACGGTGACATACAGACTAGATCAGTCTCTTTCCTAACCTTATTTAGCTCAGTGAAAGATATATATTTTGTTATCTCGTCTTAATATGAATTAGATGAGACACTAAAAGCAAAAACACTGTTTGTTTTAATGCACTGGTAAATTTTGAGATTTGGTTATCTGTCTTCTCATAATGTTTTTTTAGACTATTGGAAAGAAAACAGCCAAAGTGTTTAATTTATTACACTTTATCTGTTTGCATCTGTAGATTTCAAAGGACAAATTAAGCGGTTTTCTCAAAATGACTTTTTTCCTCCTGCGCTGAGACTATTTTAAGGCCTGATATTGTGTGGAACTAACTCAAAATGCTTTTAACAACAATTATTCATTTCGATTTTTCAGTGTTATTTGATACTGTATATAACATTTAGTCATATATCGATCTCCTTCATATCTCATTTTAAGACTCATGCACTGTATTCAAATGGTACTTCTGCTACTCTCCTGACTGCTGATTTTATATACTGAAAAGTCTTTGAATTACCCATTAAGTATGTGATGTTCAACGGAAACTTTCGGTGATATAAATCAGGATATAGATGACTTTGTGGTGTCTTTAATAACATATAACCAATGACTGGGATGTGTTCACGCTAACCAGTGTTCATCTTGACGTCTGTGAGGTTTGGACTCTTTTTATTGGGTTGATTCTTGGTCTCTACCCTAATTATTTTTTGTGTATACTTTAGTCAGTCTGTACATGTAAATTGACACCAGTACAGTGCAAATATTTTCATAATGCAAAGTTTTATTCATTTCATAATGCTCATTCATATGCATTGTAATACATTTAATTAGAAAGGCTGGAATTAATATTGATTAGAATATTATGATTAAAGAATCAAAATATTAAACGGTGTGTTCATTAAAGGAGAACACATACCACAAATATTGGCACCCTTGGTTAATATGAGCAAACTGACTGAAAATTTGTATTTGCAATTCCTCCACTTAGTCTTTCATTCAAAACATTCACAGAAATCTAATCTTTAGTTAAAGTCGAATCTTAAAAAAAATCTTATCATTTCTGATATATTCCCCATCTTAGAAGAGCAGCATATCTGTATTAGGTCCTCATGAACAGAGAGTAATTCTTTCAGATTCACAATCAGGTCTGATCAGGGGACAGAAAGACAAAACAGAAAAATGTAAGATAATATTATAGACAACGTGTCATATTACATGTATGATGTGAATCTGGGTCTACAAGCATACACTGTAGGTATAAAATGAAGTGTAGTAGCAAATCAATGTGAACTGTGAAAGCACTTCATTCAGTTAATCGTTATTTATTTGAGTAAAACTGTGTTTGTGTTGATCCTTGTTATTCTGTCAACACACTAATGTTGCCGGCAGCCTCTTCATTCCCTGGATCCGTTGTTAGTTGTTACCTGTGAAATCAGTAAGAAACAAGATTAATCACAGAACGTAAAGAGAAAAAGAGCTGTTGATGATGGTAACACAATGTTTCGTCTACACAAACACAAATATACCAGAGGTTAGGTATATGCTCAGGTGCTGTACAATGTGCTTATTTGCAATATCACTATCTAGAGTTTTTTGTTAAACTTCTTACTAATGAAAACATTGTTGTTCAAACATGAACTTACTGCCTTAAATAATGATCTCGGTCACTTAAATGAATCTTCAGCCTAAAAACCTTAATTGAATTTGAACTACACTGTAATAATAATATAATCATGTTTATACACTTACTAATTGAAACTGATTTATTTAATCTATTTCTTGAGATTTCTGTAAAAAAATAATCTAAAATCCTAAAAACTGCTACAGTTGAATCTTGGTTGTTTTAAACAGCTGCAGATAAAACAAAAAATCTTTCATGATTAGATACAGTCACATTCACCATATTGACTGTTAGAAAGTAGATGTAAATAAAATCATGATTACACTGAAGGGCTTGAGCTACTCACTGCTGACAAACATTCTGAATCTTGTGTGTGAGGTCTCATTACTGATGACCGTATAAAGTCCAGTGTCTGTGGTTCTGGTTTGTGGGATGGTCAGGTCTCCAGAGTGACGGTTCAGCTGCAGTCCGTCTCTGAATCTCCCATCAGGACCGTCATAATATGTGACAACTCTGCCTGCTCTGTTGAGCTTAGCTATGATGATGCCTATAGCTCCAAACCTCCACTGTATCGCATTATGTCTCTGTATTTCAGCATTAGTAGTTTGTAGAGTGACTGAATCTCCCTAAAACAGTGACAGTGTGATCACTTCATCGGTCTCACCAAACACATCTGGAGATCATAAAGAAACAGATCTGATTGAGCTGACATGCTTGTCTAATAAATCATGTCTTCATACTGTCAAAGTTTCATTTCTACAATATCTTCTACACCAACTCTGGTGAACTAAAGTTGCATTGGAATTTAATTACAGTTATTATATAACACATAAATACAGCTTTGCATTTACAGAAACAACTACCTTTACTGATATAGTTCCAGTTGCTGTCCACACAATATCGTGAACCCAAATTTATATGTTATATGTGTTAACTGCAATATCACTGGAAGTAAAATATGGTAAAAATGGTGTTTAAAAAGACACAAAAATGTTCATCTTAATGTTTCCTCCACTACACTAATAATTAATATTAATTTCTGATTTATTTAGAAAATTTGGAAACCATCGTGAGAAGTTTCACAAGCATTTACCGAAGCAGCCTTTATAAGCTATAAATGTGTTTGCAGGTTGAACAAAAATTAAACTATTATAAAATAATTAATCTTCTAAGCTTCATATATCCAAAATGTTTCTCAGAATGGATTTTCCATTTTTATGTAGTTTGGACGATGGTGTTATATTGCTCCCATTTAAACCTAACGTAAAGTTTACAAATGGCCACATACGCACTGCAACTTAATACACTCCTCTTCCAGAAGTGAAAAGAGTTCCTGAAAACCATACTTGAGTGAAAGTAAAGATACCTTGCGAAAATAAGAAGAAATAAGAAAAAAATAAGAAAATAAGAAGGAATTGTACCACTCAAGTGGTACAATTCCAATACCACTTGAGTAAACGTCTTAAAGTATATATTTTAACAGTATTTAGAACATTAAAGTAACATTTAATTCATTAAAAGCTCTTACCTAGGGATGGGAATCAAGCTGGCAATACAATATTATATCGATATCTGGGTCAAGCTACGATATATCGATTTATGTTTAGTGTATGATACTTAAAACTATGGTATATTCAACACATTCAAACTATGAACTTGAAGTATACTTCTTTTCCATAAGGGCTGTTTCCAGAGGCGGACAGAGTACAGAGCTTTGTTACTTGAGTAAAAGTACAGATACCCCTTGCTAAATTTTACTCAAGTACAAGTAAAAGTACTACATTCAGATGTCTACTTAAGTAAAAGTACTAAAGTACTTGTTTTTAAAAGTACTTGAGTATCAAGAGTACAAGAGTAAATTTTCTAAATATTGCATACTAATCTACTGCCACAGTGCTTACATTTATGCACAGAAACGTCCTACATGGAGTTATGAAAAATGTTAATGTTATTACCTTGGAGAATGTAAAAGGAATTGAAAGTAAAATCAAGTCATTTTCATCTTTTTACCATGTTGCTTTATTTAATTTAATTAATTTTTTGGGGGGTCCCATTTTAAATGCGGGGACAACACACACACACACCACATGTAAGGGTGGCGCTGCCAATAAAGCACCTAAAAGCTGTCACAAAGAACCGGCAAAAGGAATGATTATGAATATGTAAAATATAGCAAGGAGATATTTTAATTGTTTATTAATAAATACTTGTTAAATAAACAAGTGTTTTCTTTGTCAGTGTCGGCTAGATGAAGTTGACGATGCTGACTCGCGATCTTCAGTAGTGAACGCGCCAGAGAGAAATGCACATTTCATACGGATTACATGAGCAGAGAGCAGTCTGTAGTCTGTTTTCTTTCGTTTTGAATTTTTCTGTTTAAAAGTAGACATGTCTGTGAGAGGCAAGTAGGCTACCTTATACACTGAGTTTCGGTTCATTTATGAGACGAGATCCAGTTCACAGGCCGGCGCCTCCGTTTCTTATCTATCGTCTGCTATTTACTTCTTATTTATTAAACCCAGGCAATTGGTTGATGAAACATTGATTAAAATTAAGATACAATTAATGCAAAACAAAATTCAGGTTAAAGAAAGGTTTTGTGTTTTCTGTTTGATGTCTCTGTGAACGTTTTAAAGCATTTTTTATGCCGCTTTCAGAGCGCTCACGTCCGTAACGGAGAACACGTCCATAACATTGTTTTTTCCTCATAAATGCAAACCCGAAAAATAAAATAAAACAAAATTAATATTTTATGTACTGTGGAGACTGAGCGCCAACCCTTCTTTATTCGCTGGGTAGTAGCCTACTTTG